CAAAACTGGGAAAAAATAAAATCAATATACGAAATAAGAGCTGAAGTATATGGGGACTTGAAACTTCCTAAAGTAAACAAGGAAATATTTGAAAAAGTTATTTGTATCAAGCACATAAATTATATGATAACATTTTAAATGAAATGAGATCACTGTTCAGTACAAAAATATTAAGTTAGCATTAAATAAATTGATAACCAATATAGAAGAACCAGAAAGTCTTATTTAAAGTTTATGCATAATATAAAAAATAAAAATAGGTCAAAATGAAAATAATTTTGTAAAGGAAATATTAATGATTTATTTATTGTTTAATAATACATTTATTCAGGATCCACACTCAAGAAATATTGTGGATCTTTTTTGTATTTTATATATTATTTGTATCTTGTATTTCTTGTATTGTGTGTATTTTGAATTAAATTGAATGTCAAAATTCAGTTCTGATACAATCTGTTCTACCGCGACTTTATATCAGGTGGGGTTGTCACTGATTACCACGTTCAAAATTGTTTTAATATAACGTACTTAACCATCTGTAATATATAGTATAGTGCATAATATGAGGTGAAAACTGTAAGAACAATTTTCAAAGCTGATCGAATTGGAAACTTCGATATTTCCATTGGTTCTTTGTGGTGTTGAAAAAAAAGGCTATACCAAAGTAGATACGATACCATATTGGTTGGCCTTAAATTTATTTAGGTTCATGTGTTAAAAAAATTATTCGAAACGTGTGCAAATTTTAAATGTACGCATGATAAATGAAAAGGCCTAACTGTTTAAGGGATTACATGACTTGTATTTTATGCTTCTATATAGAGTGAGTCAAAAGAGCTATCATATGATTAGTTTTCATTATCCCAGAGATGAAAATTATATAATGTGTTAAAACACATTAAATTCGAAGAAATTTATTGAATTTATTTACTGTTACTTTCGCAAAGTCATCCATGGATTTTCATCTGCCCAGCAAAATAATTGCGTCTGTTTAAGAGACATTAGCAAGTACAACTATCAGATTATTTTCGCCATGTATACATGCAATTAAGTTGCAAAATGAATATTTGTTTGATTGTTTTTTAGATCAAAGCCACATTGCGCTACCTGCTGTCTCCACCACATGGAATCGAACCTCGGATTTTAGCACTGTAAGTCCGTAAACTTACTACTGTCCTATAGGGGGACGCAAGATTAATGATTTTGTGGAATTCAAGTGGGTAGAAATTGCTAAAGTAATTTAGTGACCAAAAGACATCTCTTTTTTTTGTGTTGAGAAAGAGTCACTGTTTCCGCCTTTCTCAGTGTAATAAACAGCAACATTAAACTTCTCTCTCTATTCCCTTTCAACTTTCCTTAAAAACAACGCATTAAAAGAGATTTTCTTTTATAAAGAATCTCAGATTCCAAAAGTAACATCTAGACTTGCCGTGGTGGCAGAAGTGATTTGAGATTGAATGGGCTTTGATCCTCACAGAGTCTGCATTTAAATCCAAGTAGAATAAAGAATCAACAAGAGAATCATTTTTCAGTTATACGGTGACATATGGAGCGTAAAGAAGTAACACTGTCACTGTTAACAACGTCATGGAAAACCTAGATCTACAAGCTTCAGATCTTGTTTTCAATTTTCAGTTTTGCTGTTGTTATTATTAATACAGTGTCTAGAAATATGGAAACTTCAATGGGATTCATGACATTCTTCATACTATCAAGCTTGTTATAAACAGCTCTCCCTGTGAAAGGATATAGTTTAATCCATAATAATTTCACCCAGTAAGGAGGTTGGAAGGGTATATATAAAATTAATATATTAACGGAGTACCATCAATATCAACCACTTAGCAAGAAATGCCCGTTTTACATGCAGTCGAATACCACATGCTAACTAACGTTGTCACACTCTTCTAGAATATACAGATTCACATACGATACTATATGTTTACATTTTGACACATAAATATTTCTAAATCTTGAACAAAAGTATTCGTGATTGTTGCACATTTGATTTATAGACACTCTATTCTGCTTTTTTCATGAAAGATAGTGTTAAATCCCAAGATGTATAAGATATTTTTAGTTTCTAAGATATGAAACTGAAACATTGTAGTTTGTGTGATACAGAAAGATTTTTTAGCTCCTACAAATAAATACATTCACCTGTTTTCACATTACAAATATAACTCATGGATTTCTGACATGTTCGGCTGTTGTTGTTGTTTAATATTTTGAACCGAAATAACGATTACATAATCAAGAATTAATAACGAAAATCGGTCATACTGCACACAGAAATAACACAGTGTTTTACAATTTAATATATTTATCTGAATGTTGAAACACTTATCTAAATAGAGCTTTAATAATTCCATGTTATTAATTATAAGATATGTATATTTTAACATAGTGATTTCACAAATAATCACATGTTGGACAGAATATATGTAGAACAGATATATTTATTTTCTCCAAGCTTATGTCAATCACACGTAATTGTTTGACTTTTGTAGGATCTACTCTAGTGTTTAAAACACTCAAATAAAACAGAATATCTAATCTGCTCATTATAGCCTGCAGAATTTTTATACACTCTTAAGAAAACGAGCCTGTAAGCGTGGAAACCTGTAAGCGATGAATTATCTACTCTTTATTGTATTTACCAAAACGAAATAAATTAAAAATGACCGTGGTACATCAGTAGCGAGCAATGTGTGTGAGGAAAGTTGAAAATGTCTTACGTTTGTATTAACTGTGGTTTTACAATAACATTACCAAGCTTCGCTAAAGCGTGAAATTTAAAGTAGCTCAGAACGTTTTTTATGCTGCCGTAAAATATTCTGCATTTATACATCCCATTTCTGTCTCTGCAACCTAGAATAGTTATGTTTATTAATCTGAGAAAAAAAAAAGCACCGTACAGGATTATGTAAAGCACCGTACAGGATTATGTAAAGCACCGTACAGGATTATGTATCTTTACAAATGCTTGTCTTCTTACGAGTGTATAAAAAAAGCAGGAGTTCTAAAAGATGCATGTTTCACTGAAGTGTGACAGTTATATGCCATTGTATTTTGAGGGAAAATAATCTCTATGTAGAAAGACAGATTATTTATACCTGTGCAAGAGAGAAAAATAATATTACATTCTATACAAGGTGCTAAGCTCTGACATCATACTGAAATTAACCGGCTACATTTAAAAAATAACGTTTGTGGCTAAAACGGCCAAGGATGACTTAACACTGCTATATTAATTTTTTTTTAATACTAGCTTTAACTGATTAAAATAATATGATGCCTTTATGTAGTGTTTATTGGAAATAAGCTAGCTAGGCTGAATAATTTTTATATATTGAATTTTGATACCTGAAAAACGTAGAGAAATTTAAGACAACGTAGTCGCTCTCTATCGATAAATGCATAATTTTTTACATAAAATATAAAAACATAACTAAACATACTTGACAAATTTTAAGTATCAAAGCCACTTTCCTTTATTACGTAACAAAATTATGTTGGGCACAAATAATATACAGTCATAAAAACTTCACGAATTTCTTAAAAATTAAGAAAGTTTATTGCATTTAATAAATTAGTCTAAGTTTTCGAAAGTTAAACTATCTTAGTGATATAGTATTTTATCATAAATCATATATTGAACACATAGATGCATAGATTAGTAATAGCTTCTAACACTTAAAAGTTAAGCATGTTGGAGTTTGAGTGAGTAATATGGTTAACTAAAACCAAATAATATTTTTACCGTGTTGACATTGCACTTAAAATAACTAATAACAAATTGTTAAAAATGTTAATAGATGGCGCTAACATAGTGTCATGGAAAAAGAATATATTCCAATGTGGCTTTTAAAAAGTATCTCAAGCGTTTTCATTGTTTCCTTATTATCAAACCACATTGTTCGCCATACGAACTAATTTGAATACAGCTACTACACTAACGGTAGGGGTTGAATACAAATACGTTATAAAAGGCTCGTTTTTATTCTGAAATGTTTGTTTCAGTTTTTAAGCTAACAGATTATTTAACTTGGTCCATTCAGTATTAAATATATAGATAGATAAATATGACTATTAAAGATGTGACTACTGTATGGATATACAATATATTTTATTCCAGTTAATTTTTCTAGAAGTACGTTTAGTTTCTTATTAGCTTTAAAATATATAAAACTTAATATCAACATAAAAGTTGAAATGCGTCATTAAATATCACCTCTGTCTTCACTTTATTGTACTTTTTAAACATGCAATAAAAATCGCAGGGACCCTGATGTTCGATTTTTGAATTGAACTCGTGCCCTCATCATTCACACCTCACCCAGAGCTACGTATAACGTTCGAAGATGAAAAAAAACAACAACAAAAAAACACACAAAGAAAATGCGAGATGAATAATAAAATAAAATAACTGATTATTCAAAACCCCTAAATGTAAATACCATGAATTGTAATTAATCTTTGGCTTCAACGTAGGTATATTAGGACTAACAGTGAAATAGAGGTTTTTTGACCGAATAGGAAACACATACAAGCTAAATATACGACACTTTTTTTCTTATATACCTTGGATTGATAAATTTTCAAGTTGAAACGTTTTCAGTACAAGTTCAGGAAGTTGTGAACACTATAGAAAATAGTCGTTTTAAAAAGAGACCATTATTGCCCGTTGCCTTTAAGTGTAAGCAATATACAGCATGTAACATGCATATTCTACACAGTTTCTATTGTTTTGAATTAATCTGATAAGTCTTTGGATGTAAATGACTTAGTCCGAAGAAGAGGTAGAACACCCTAAATAAAATATTCTTTCTTAGAGCCACCTGGTGGTGCAGTGATCTATCGTTTAGTCCTTTTCGGCATCTCTAATGTTGATATTCACTTACAGGAACAGATCTGGTGATAAGTAAGGGCTTTAACAAATTTGAATCAATAGTGTATTATGAAAATCCAGATATAATCTGTTGTCACTGTCTTCTCAACTAGCACCTTTCTGTCTTGAAAATGTTTGGACTAATAGGGCTGCCGAGAGCAGGACCATTGGAAGACGGTGGTCGTGCGTTGTGGGCATAGTAGTATGATGTATCTAATAAACAAGATAAAAGTAAACGATAAAACTAAACAACTTTTTGAAAGAAAAAAAATAAAGAGAGAGAGAAAACTCTTTAAATAATATTTTTCATCATATTATCTCAAGTAGAATATAGAAGCAGGAAAACAGGCCAAAATAATTTACGTCACTAAAGAAGAACCTGTGAAGCTAGAAATATGTATTATATTAATAAATATAATAATATTTTGATTACTAATTAGTGAAATATTTATGGATCATTATATTTTGTATGAAAGTAACCAAATATTTTTGTTGTCGTTTCTAACATTTTATTTTAAGTACAAATATCATTAAGAAAGAAAATTTTGGATTTCTTAAGTCCTAATTCAATAATATTTATAAAAAAATAATCGAACACAATGACACGTTCTTAATATTAAAGATGTTATTAATATTTGGATGCGAAAAGCATACTTATAATTCCGCTTGGTCCGTATCCATAGGTTCCATATGCAGTGGGTGATGGGTATTGGGAGAACTGAGATGTGTAGCTGTACTCACTTCCAGGAAGGCCCGCACCTGAGACTGCACTTCCAGCTACTATATGGGAGGAAATCGTATCATGTTTATATATATCTATATGTTGCTTTTTACTCTATGACACAAATCAAATTTGGAAGGTGCAGATACGAACTATTCGTTCACTGTACAAGGTGTTCAGAAATCATTCAAATAATCTCACTGAGCATAATTAATTTTTTGTTAGCATAAATTTTGAACATTCTGTATAATAAGCTAATACAGACACAAAAATATTTCTAATTAACTAAACTCGTGTTTGGGTAAGCATAACTTGCAGCTGATAATGGGGGGGGGGATATTATAATACTTAGGATATCCACATACTCTTTTTGTATCTCTATGGGCTGAAATTAAACATGCCATGAGGCAATCCGCATATTTCAACCATTCATTCATAGTGTGTTCGGAAATTATGTTTATCAACTTCCATACTTATATCAACAATTTTGTAAGCAAAATATTTGAACAACCTGTATAAGCTATTAGAGATACATAAATTTATCTAACTAACTAAAAATCATGATTAAGTAAGTATAACACACTGATCGTTTGTTCCAGAACCACAACTATATCTCACTCTTTTGGTTTTGAGTTTATTTTATCTGCCAAGTCTAGGTTATTGCTTCTATGAACTTTTCTTCACGACGTTACTCTAGAATCTAGACTAGAGTCCTACAGGAAAACAAGCTTGAACTCTGAGTCTTATCACCAGGAATACCGTTAAATTATAACTATGATTCTTAAATACTGGTATCTCCTAGAAAAACGTCCTATAAGTCTTTCAGTATCTTGCAAGTTTAAAGTCTCTTCACTTTATAATGTATCTTTAACGGATAAGATCTCACTTTAAGACTGTCAGTGAATCTGTTATGTTATTTGTATGACGTGAAAAAAAAAAGGATGAGGGCAATGGGTAAGCAGGGATGAAGTTTTTTGTAACTGTAAAATGTATTAAATGGTGCTTTGCATTTTAACATACTTAATTCTATTAAACAGAAAGCCAATCTCTCTACCGGTTTTCGTC